ACCTTGCATGTTTTTTGTTGCCCTGGAGAGAGAGACGGAGAAAGAGGGATGAACAGGGAGAGCTAGACATCCCTGCGCAGGAAACTTCGGGTTCACGGTGACCCTCCCTGGACTCCTTGGACCTTAAACTTAAGCCCGGACCGCTTCAGAACCCAAGCCCCTGACTAAAATCCTTCGGCCAAGAGCCTCATCCTAAATCCTTAAAGCCCTGCCGGGCCATTTACTTGGAGCAACTTTCGCTATTACATGGCCCAAACCAAGCAGCCGTATCCCTTATCTCCACACCGCATAATTCATTGGCTTTCTTTTCAACACTAGGCCTCCAATCGTTATTCAAACCGTGAGCATTGCCTTCACAAGCGCTCAGAAGATCCAAGCTAAAAGTCTTAAGCCTGAAGCCTTTGAGCTTTTTCGGCATGTTCAAGGATGCATGCGCACCAGATGACGCCAGAATTCCTGCAACTGGGCCACACCTCTGGGGGCTTGGAGGTTCCGTGGATTCGTGGCTTTGGGGTTAGGCGCTGCGGGCAGGATGTATCTGTGGTCCGGTTGTCGGTTCAGAGTGGTTAGTTTGTTGCCCTGTTGGGTGTGCGATGGGCTGGAGATGATCCTGACATCCAAAGATCTCTCTCTCTCTCTCTCTCTGTCTCTCTCTCTCTGTGTCTCTTGCTCTATCGCTCTCGTTCGCTTCTTCGAAGCATGAAAACAAGGCTTGATGTGTTCCAAACCGGGATCCTGAACTCAACGACGGCACCATAACCTCCTCAACTAATGCCCGCACCCTGAATTGACCGTGAGGGTCTCTTGTGACGGAGTTTTTGTGTGAGCTTTGATGTCGGGAGTTGGTTGCGTGAGGCTGTGGACGAAGAGCGCCGCTTCGTTTGGGTCGGTCTTTCTCGCCCGGAATGATCTCGATCGTTGCCATTCAGTGATATCTCTTGATCCTTGCCTGTAGGAGATCAGCATCCGAAATGCCGGCGCTGACTCTTCGGCCTTAGACTCACCCCTTGCAGCCGACAATGCTGACCAGCCAAGACACAACATTCCACATACGCACCTAAAGCTCTGTAGCCACACACCAACACCCAAAACCCGGTAAGCCCCAAATCCTTCTCAACCAAGGATTCAGTACTTCTCCAGGCTATCCCCTGAAACTGTCTCGCGCCCGTGGGTGTTGTGAATGAGAACTTCAAGTTCAGGGTCGGGGAAAGCCGAAGCTTCCTGAAGGGGGTTTGTTGTAGGGGACCCTAGGGGGACTTAAGTTGTTCTCAAGTACTCCTTCGTGGTTTAATGATGTAATGGCATTCAACAGTGATCCACTCCGTTGGCTTGAAGACGTACTTGTAGCAATGTTGAATGAGCGTTAGCGGCGTAGAGTCTTGAAGATGAGATGATGACGGCTCTTGGCTTTCCTGTTTAACTTCCTCGTCCTTCCTCCAAGATGAGTGAAAGTCGGAGTGTGGGCTTCGGAGTTGTACAGGAGCCTGGGTATGTGGAGTTCGAGGGATTTTAGGAATCTGACTCTTCGGCAGTTCCATTCTAGGATTCAAGCTTGTACGTTAGCATTCTATGTGATTGACGTCTTCCGGATCCGAGGAAATCGTTCAGCTCCAAACCTCAAGCCCCGTAGTTCAGCCCAAGCCCCAGCTCGAATGGTTGAATGCGAGTGATGACTTGCTGTAACGGCCCCGCAGCAAGTTCTATTGACGTTTATTCGCCGTGGGGGAAGACGGAATCCAACGCGGTACAAAGAACCATAAGGAACCTAAAGCCCCTGCTACTCCCGATCCAACCTCAGCCCTTCTCAACATGCTGGAGCCCCTAGGCGCTGGAGTGCCTCACGGACCTCATGCGCCACAACCGCCAGAACCTCCAGGTGGCTGTGAAGGCGGGTGCTTCAGGCTACTATCATCTCGCGCTGATGCCGCACACTGTTGCGCTGTGATCTCTCTAGTCTGTACCATGTAGGGGTTTCGGGAGTACGGAGTCTCATCATCGACATACGCAAGTCTGAATGCCTCCTCCACCCTCAACCTGCAGCATGTGAGTTTGGAGATTTGGCGGCTGTTTACAGCTTGTAGTATCTCGGGGTGTGTTTTGCACCACGACCTGAGGCGTACACCCTAAACCGGCAATCCTGCGCCGCAAGTCCCAGTTCCCCAGCGTTTGGCTTGACATTTCCCAGCTCCATGGGGCAAATCTCTGAACCTTCCAGTTCGTGTTTATGTTGGGACGAGATGCAGCTTCAGCAGCTGAAGACCGGATCGGTTCGGATTCGAGGTGCAGGGCTTTTGCAGCTTCATTGCAGAAGTTCGGGGGCTCTGGAGATCCCAAAGGCTCATCGTGTTCTCACACCCTGAACAATCTTGAATAGTTTCAATAGGTGAAGCTGTCAAACCTTCAGGTTGCCATCCAGTACCACGAGCAGATTGGTGCAGTGAAGATTGTGGAAATGTTCGAATCTTTCGGCTCCAATGAAGGCGCTGCTTGCTTGTGTTGAGGATTGAGGATGGAAGGCGATATCCCATAATCCCAGTATGTTTCAGACTACTCTGGGGAAAATATCATGAGAATGAGCAAGGAGCATGAAGCACACGATGAAGTCTGCTCAGAGCCTCATATGTTTTGAGGTTCAAGGTTTCGGCTTTAGGACTGGACTGCAGGGCTGAGGCTTCATTGCGTATAGACCTGAGTATGTCAGTTGGAATCACGATGATCTTGAACGAATGTTTAAGATCGGCGTCATGATATTAAGTGTTCATAAGAAAGTGATGTAGAGAAGGAGAATAAGAATAATAACGAGAATAATGTGCACATCCGTTCCTCGAATGGAAAAACGTTCTCTTGACCTCCGAACATCGCCAGCTTGGTTGTATCATCGTTGCTTTCCGGTGGTTTTTGCTGGTTGCTATGTCTCGGGTCGGCGGTGCATGGGCGAACGGATGGCTAGGTCCTAGGTAGATGGACAGATAGACAGACAGCAACAGAGACGTCACACCATTCCGTTTGTTTAGTTTAACGCTGCTCGCAATTGTGCCATGCTGCCTGCACTGCTGAGTGTCATTCCGTAGCAGCAGCAGTGCGGCAAGAGTTGGTCCGTAATGCAGTTAGTAGCAGGGGTCAGTACCGGTGTGCGAGAAAGACCTATTGTCAAAAAGCCGCATAATCAATGGCAGGCATCTTCTATTTCCTCGGTGCGATTTTGAACACCAGCACCTGCGCCTGCAGAGCTCGTAGACCGGGCGGGGTCTAGTAATGGAACGCGCTTTGCAGCAGTGATACCGTTGTACCGGGCCTTAATTGTTTTCATATTAATATAGGCAATAATTTTTCATGTTAAGTGTTGATCTGTTGCTTGTGTTGTGGTTGCTCTGATAATTGTGTAGTGCGCCAGGCTGTGCAGGACTAAGCGCCGCCGGCGCGCTTTGAACACGGTGGTTGCACATTCAGGAGCCGCCAGACGTGTGGCGGGCGACACACGTCGAAGCCGTCCACGGTCCAGAAAGCCGTTCCAGTCTATGTCGCACCTAGAAGAATGATGCCCTGTGCAGAAAGAGCGGCACTGGCGGTGTCGGCGTCAAGTGGCAGCAGTAGTAGTCGTCGTAGTAGTAGTAGTAGTAGCAGTAGTAATAGTAGTAGTCGTCGTCGTCGTAGTAGTAGTAGTAGTTCTGGTCGTAGTAGTGGTAGTGGTAGTGGTAGTGGTAGTGGTAGTGGTAGTGGTAGTCGTAGTAGTAGTAGTAGTAGTAGTACTAGTACTGGTACTGGTACTAGTACTAATACTAGTACTAGTACTTTGTAGTCGTAGTAGTCGTCGTCGTGGTAGTTGTAGTGGCAGCAGCAGCAGTGGTAGTAGCAGTAGTAGTAGCAGTAGTAGTAGTAGTAGTAGTAGCAGTAGTAGTAGCGGTAGTAGTAGTAGTAGTAGTAGCCGTAGTGGTAGTGGTAGTGGTAGTGGTAGTGGTAGTGGTAGTGGTAGTGGTAGTGGTGGTAGTAGTAGTAGTAGCAGGAATAGTAGTAGTAGTAGTAGTAGTAGTAGTAGTAGTAGTAGTAGTAGTAGTAGTAGTAGTAGTAGTAGTAGTAGTAGTAGTAGTAGTAGTAGTAGTGCAGTAGTAGTAGTAGTAGTAGTAGTAGTAGCAGTGGTAGTAGCAGTAGTAGTCGTAGTAGTAGTAGTAGTAGCAGTAGTAATAGCAGTAGCAGTAGCAGTAGCAGCAGCAGTAGCAGCAGCAGCAGCAGGAGCAGGAGCAGGAGCAGGAGCGGGAGCAGAAGCATCAGCAGGAGCAGGAGCAGGAGCAGGAGCAGGAGCAGGAGCAGGAGCAGTGGCAGTGGCAGTGGCAGTGGCAGTAGTAGCCATGGGCCCCGCAGGGGACCCACGCTGTTAAAAGGAACAGGATTGCATGTTGTTTGCTGCAAGTGTGGAAAATGCTGGGCAGGCCCTAGGATTTCCTCGTTAGAATGGATTGCACAGTAGTGTTGTTGGAGGCTTTTTTCGGGGACCAGCTCCGGTCCCCGAAAGTATGGTCTTGGGGTTGAAACTGCCGTTTTGGATCACGCTGCGACCGCATTCTTTTCTTCGTTTGATGGAAGATGGGATGTGTCGTCGGAAAGTGTGCTGTTGGGGCTTAACGTGCTTTGTGGGAGCACGCAGCGACCGCACTTGTTCTTCAAAGTCGAAGGGGAAGAAACTGCCAAACCCAAACCACAGGTGGTCGGACAGTACGAACACACTGTAAATAACGCGCAGAACGCAGGTGCTGCCAAGATGGCTTTAACACTCCTATTACCTGAAGCGCAACATCTCACAAACATCAAAAACAAAGATGCCAGCTGTCCGTGGAGCCCAGACCTCGGTGTAGGAGGGTTTCTTTCGAAGTAGTGTGTGGTGTGTGCGCGTTAGAGTGTGGAGATATTGTTCGGGGTGTCCGCGAATCAATGTCGTCAGCATTCCCGAAACAAGCTTCCCCCGACCAAGTTCGAGTTTTTGCAATAAAAACATCCGAAATCCCAAGGTCGAGTTCGCAAAACCCAGAAGTAGGTTTGGTGATTATATAAGATGGTCCGACATCCCAGAATACCGAGTAAAACGGCTCTTCTGGAGATATTGTCTGTGTAACGACGTCTTCATCATCGCGCCCCTCCCCACCCTCCGACCCGATCCTAAATCTGTCCGAGCGCATCCGTCATCATCATCATCGTCATCGACAGCATCCCCATCGTGATCATCTTTTTCAATCGCGTTAGCAAGGTCGGTCCGGCAAGGAGCACCGGCCTGGTATTATTATAGATATTACTATGAGTAGGTAGTAGTAGTAGTAGTAGTAGTAGTAGTAGTAGTAGTAGTAGTAGTAGTAGTAGTAGTAGTAGTAGTAGTAGTAGTAGTAGTAGTAGTAGTAGTAGTAGTGCAGTAGTAGCCGCCACGGCTCAGACGTTTTGGAAGTTTCGCGCTGGCTTTCGAACAGGCTCTGGACTCCAACCCTTCGTTGCTAGAGGTCTCAAACAGGCCTCTCTCTGAACGACTAAGGGTTGGTGCCTCACGCTGAGCCATGTGCCATGTGCCAACTGTTTGCGTCTGAACCGCCAGGTCCCAATTCCTGGACCCAGTACCCTGTCTCAACACGGGCCCACTGGGCAGGCGGTAGGGTTTCCACTAGCCGCGTGGTGGAGGGAGTCACTAGGCTTGCCTTGTGACGAAATAGCGGATGGCGCTGCTCCCAGTGCACTCACACAATTATTCTCAGATCAGGAAGAATTCTTTCAAGCATGTTTGCCGACAGGTGGCTGCCAGCCAGCAGCCTGTCTTTTACCGAGGTCAGGTTCTGACCCCGGCTCTTCTTAGGCGGATGGGCAATTGCCCGCCACAGCCTGGCCCCAAGCGGTCTTTTGCACCACGATCTCGGGCAGGTCAGGCCACCAGGCCCCTCCGAGTACTGTCCTGGAATGCCGGCCATCTTGGCCAGCAACAATGGTCGGAAGTCAAGTCATGGCTCTCCACTGAGGCCAAACTCGTCTGCGATGTGTTAGTCCTGCAGGAGACACACTGGCAAGCCACGGCCGAATTTAGTGTTGCAGGCTGGTATTGCGTCTCGTCTGCATCGGCGGCTGATCCGAAAGCCTCTAGGCGAAAGCAACGCGGGGGCAAGAGCCACAAACAGCCACCTGCAGAGGCAATGCCTACTGACGATAAGCCGACCCCACCCCGCAAGGAGCCCTCAACAACTCGCGCGGACGGGGTCATGGTCTTCCTGTCCCCACACATCTTGCCCAAGAGTGTGCGCTGGCAGGAACATGTCATAGGCAGAGCCCTGGAAGTCAGGTTTGACTGGCATGGGGCCCGCATGACGCTAGTTGCTGTCTACCAACACGTTTGGTCCCCGGCCAAGCAGGTGCAGACTAACCGTCAGGACAGAGCGCACGTCCTGAAGGCTCTCGGCCGATGCGTGCAGCGAGTGCCGCACAGAGACACGCTCATCCTGGCAGGAGACTTCAATAGCTCCTTACAAAAGCAGCCTAGGCTGGTAGGTCCCGGGACCATCTGCCCACAAGAACCGAGGCCCGACGAGCCAGAGCTAACCAACTTTCTACTCAATCATCGCTTAGTTGCTCTCAACACGTGGAGGCCTCAGCCGACACATACATTTTGGCAAGGGGAAACGCGCACTCAGATTGACTTTGTGCTCACGAGGGAGGTCTCTGCTGGTGGCTATGCCAAAGCCTCTACGCCGCTGGCGGATTTCCCGCTGGGCAGCTGGAAAAAAGGCGGGCACTTGCCCATAAGTGCCACTGTCAAGCCAGTTCGGCACTGGAACCTGCCTGCCCCTCAGCTACAGCAACATCACTACGACTCTGCTGCCCTGCAAGCAGCTGTCAGGGACAACACGTTGCCAGCCCAGCAAATGCTCGAGTGGGTCAAAGCACGCCTCACCCCGGACATGCAGCCGGCGTCTTGGGATCGTCTCCTTGGCGAAGCGACATCTAGGTTTTTCCCTAAGACCCCGGTGGCAATGCCAGATAGTCCGGAAACGCGCATAGCCAGACGCATGTGGCGCTCTGCACGTGGGAGCAATGCTCACCCCAGGGCAGAGTCATCGCCGGATGATGAGGCCCGACAAACCCTGTGTGAGCAGCATAAACAAGCGGTTAAGCAGGCTCGAAAATGCCAAACAAAGCGGTTTCTTGCTGAGGTGGATCAGGCTCTGAGCCAGGGCGACCAGCACCTTGCATATCAGACTCTCAAGCATCTCCGTCCGTGGAAACCGGCCTTGAAAGCACAGCTCAAGGACGAGCAGGGCTTCCTGCTCAGTCCCGCGAACGAACTGGATGAACTGGGGCAGTATGCAGCCAAGGTCTTCGCGGCGCATCCACAGCTTCCGTCAGACTCGGGACTGTTGCCCCTCTTGCCACAGACCAAGTTAGCGAAGCACATTGCCTCGATCAAACCTGGCAAGGCAGTTCCAAAAGGAGCGGCACCGGCCGCAGCCTGGAAACTTTGCGCTCAGCCGGTCTCAG